AATATTAATGACAGGGTTATAGTTCTGTGTTTTGAATCCCTGTTCAAAACAATATAAATGTGCATGGGATACTGTAGGGATTACATCCGGATAGAAAAGTCTTGTCTACCCTACATTGTCTATCCCCTACATTTGGACGTAATCGTAACTTAAGTAATTTACAATAAAAGTTACAGTTATGATTTGAAAAGAAATTTTCCATTGCCTGTGCTGCCAAATTTCCATTGCAGAACTGCATTTTGCCATCATCATCGTGAAGCTCAGAGGAAGAAATTTCTGGGTCATAAAGGGTGTACTTCGAGCCCTGAAGGTCAAGAACAATAAGTTTACCTTCAGATTTCTCATATGTGAAGTGCGCATAACATTCAGCCTTTTCTACCATCACACTGCTCTCTTCACACAAATCGCCATTATTGTTAATGTACTTTATAAAATCACCATCTATATATTCTTCAATGGTGACACATCCACCACCATCAATTTTACCCATGTAAACATTTTTGTACTCAAATGTGGGCCCAAACTCTTTCAGCTTCTCTTTACAAATCTTTTCCTTTAGCTGCAATGCAAAGTTTAGGGCAATACTATGCATTTGAACTGCCTTTCTTGTTTGACCTTCAATTGTTTGCCCCAATGCTTCAATTCCCATGATGGCTTCAGGAAGAAACTTTTTCACCACCCATGTTTGACTGCTAAAACCTGGTGTCGTACTCTTAGCTTTATAAGCTTGTCTGAAACCTCCACTCCCAAATGGCTCATCATCAACACGGAATGCAACTGGTGATGGTAGTTGAGTCCATTCCATTGCTGACAAATCAAACATGTGAAGAGTTGCAGTGATTGTTGAACTTTTGGAAATCACCTTTCCTAGATTAAGCATATCAATGACAGAAATACTTTTTGGGTAGGCTTTGCTTGTGGTTGGTTTGTTCTTTATACCCGAGAAGGAATGATGTTTTGTAGGACTTGAAGAACACCTGGCTTCAACCCTTGACTTCTTGGAACACTGCTAGAAAAATAAATACCGCCATAAATTATGTTAATTTGTGAACGTTAAATTTATTTGCAAACCCATACCTCCACCTCGGGAAAAGCTTATAAGTATTACTAATTTTTAAGCTTGATTTACTTGCACTTTCTATCCACTACTTGTGGTTGTTGTTTATACACTTGTGTTTGGCAAAATATTCATAATACAACCGTGCTGCACATGCACTCACAGTATTATATATTTTGCCAACCACATGTCATGTGCAATTCTTAATTACATTAATCCATTAGCTGGCAGTGCACCCAAATGCACCCTACTTTAGCATTTAAGGCTATTCCATTTAATATATGTATCCCCCTACCAGCAATTCTTTGGGGTATCCATATAATCATTAATCATTCAGGGGCACCAATAATATAGATGTGGATTTCTTCACGGTTATCCCCCCTCCCTCCAGAAAATCTGTGCCTGGTTGGAATTCTTCACAGTAAAAGGTTTTGAGATTGGAATTCTTCTGGGGGGGGAGAACTATATAAATCATGTATCCTTGGTGTGTGTGTGCGGGGGGGGGGGTACAGATATTAAATGGAATATAGCCCATTTATTCTGTCTAATGCCGGACAACTTTATATTATCCTATATGACAACAAACACTCATTTGCTGCGTTGTTTTATATGCTCACCTCAGAGTTCAACGCAAATAATGTTGGTGTTGTTCAAAAGTCATCATCGACTTCGTTTGTATCATTGAATGTGCTTTCTTCTTGTGCTTCATCCACGACAAGATCACAGAGTTTTACAAATCGCACATGGATGACTTTTAAATCTGGAATATGCTCGACTTTACGGCAAGAAGGGCCCTGTTCCCCAGCCAGAACATCACATATCATGTCCTTGTCTACGCGCTTTGCAAAGTGCGTTTTGCAAGCATCCATAATATTTCGCAGGGTTAGCTCGCTGTCATACTTTTCGAATGGGACAAACTCTCTTGGCCCGATTCTGTTGTATTTCTGTGCTTTGCCGCTAACATTTGAGCTCATTCTTTGGACGATTATCTCTTCTTTCACAGTTTCACCACCTTTCTTCTTCGCAGTTGTCGTACGCTGTCGCTTTGCTGACATTTTGGCTGCAAAATGTGTCCATTGTTTCTTTTCCGCCATACTTGATTGCTTGCGTGACATTGACAAGTAGAGACTGGTGGTAGAGACACGTGCGACACTGACGCAAGGAATCATGGTATAGTGGCAGCGCTCGGCCGATAAAAAAACTGATTTTTATTTTACTTTAATTTTGCTTTACTTTAAATTTATATTTTTGCTTTCGTTTAACTTTCATTTAATTTTTGTTTAACAAGTAGTTTTTTTAAAATTTTTTATATTGGCAGCCCTCGGCCGATAAAAAAACTGTTTTATATTTTACTTTATTTTTGTTTTACTTTAAATTTATATTTTGTTTTCGTTTAACTTTCATTTCATTTTTGTTTAACATTTATTTCATTTTTGTTTTACTTTCATTTCATTTTTCTTTTAATTTAAATTTAAAGTAGTTTTTTTTAAAAACATTTTTGTAAAAATATTAATTTATAAACATTTTTTGCAAAAAAAAGGAAAAAACTATTGGCAGTTCTCGGCCACCATATATGTGTTCTGTGTTCACCCTTCTTGCGATTTCCGACTTCTATTTTTAATAAAGTTTGGAGAAATCATCTTTTTGGCTGAAAATCTTGCGGATGGTTCACGGAAGAACTTGGCCCCAAAACGTCAATACATTCGCTTTCCTTTCATGCCAAATTTTCATTGTAGATGATTCAAAAATCTCTTTTTTCGCTTTAAGAACTCGCTGTAAAATCCTTCTTTGCAACAGTATCGCCATTGTTCATTATTTTTGAAAAACTGAGGTTTTAAACTTGAAAAAATTTGGGAGCTTTTGGGCGATTTTCTTGCATGATACACTGTTGAAAAGCTCGAATTTCACGTTCTATTTTCGTATCCGTTGCTAGGCAACCCGATAAACATGTGCTCGAATATCATGCCAGCATGTTAAGGTGTCATGTCAGGGCACATTCAGGCGCATTGCCACTTAACGAGTTAAACAATTCCTATTGATGAAAATATGCATCTTTATTTCATTTTGTGCACTTTCCCACTGACCCACAATATTAGTTTTATGTCAGAAAGACATGGAAAATCATTTATTGACTTATGTTTTATTGATATTGGTATATATCCAATGTTGATGCACTGTCACACAAAATTTTGGAAAACCACATAGTGATAGAAATCGAATATGTGGTGATTCCATTCATTGAATTGAATTATTTATTGACATGAGCCCTGTAAAGTCTGATCACATCAAAAAAGTCTGTCGTTCTGTGAGGTTCTTAATGGTGGACTTTGGGATGGAAGCTGCAGATTCTTTTATTGCTATCCACAGATAATTTTTGGAGGAATACTGCTTTCCATCGGCATAAACCTGGCACTTAATAATCGATTGGGTTTTTTGGTGGGGGCCAAAATTATCCCCTACCCTTATAAAACACTGGGTTAGGGGCCTATTGCCCTCTGCGGTCACTAACTTGTTTAGCCGAGCCTTCCCACAACTCAAATCTATAGGGTCTAGGAAATGCAATCCACTGGAAAATGTTTAAAATCTGATAAGGTATTTACAACACAATGTTTAGCATTAAAGATAAAAGACAGGACATAAGATTCACAAGTTACTAGAATATCAAACCTTCTAAATTCCATGTTTTGCTTATATTTTAGAGAAAAAGGGACTTTGACTGGGGGGGGGCAAAATGGTTGAATGGGCAGGGGGGGCACCATGGCGGCTGGCCGGGGGGGGGGGGCTTTGGCCCCTCTAGTTATGTAGTTAAAAAATGCCTTGGCTTACAAATGCATTATTCTTTAAATTACAATTCTGACCACATGTGTGATATTACCACTGAGCTATACTATATTACTGGAGGACCTGTATCAACAAGTGAAGCCAAAAACATGGCGGATCTGATGCCATTGCCATGACTACTGGTCCGTAGATTCATGGCAACTACCACTGTCCCAACCGCGATCCTAAGCTTTCGACGATGTACTTCACCCCCTGGTTTCAGCACAGATATTTTATGATTTCGCTTGTTTTTGAGGTAGAAATCGCACTGAAAATCTTGATATTTTTCTCCTATAATTTGGTTGATTTACAACGTTGAGGATCCTGCCTTTTTGCGTCGCTCATAGATGTATGAGATGTACAAGAAGAATATTTTTATTCACCGGTAAGAATTTTATATATTCTAGAAAATTTGAATCAGAAGTACAAACTACAAAGTTTATACTACAAACATAAAAGTATATGAACAGCAAATTAATAGCAGACATAACAACCTGTAAATGGTTGGCAATTCTGTAAATTTTATTGTTCCTTTGATTTGGCACTAGCCTCAGCCCTCTGTATTTGCCTAGGGTTTTATGGCTGGATATGATTTCAAAGTCCTTGCTGTACTGTCTGCACACTTGTATTTATTTAGTATTTTAGTTTATTAAATTTTCCTTGACAAACTTTGAGTGATATCCTTGCCAGGTTCTTGCCAGCAGTTGCTTATAATTACTGTGTAGTTATATTAAATCTCACTTACACGACATGCAGACAAGTGAACAAATGCTTTGCTAGCTAGGCCAAAGACATCAGGTTCAAACCATTCAATACCCATTGCAATCAAGCAATTACCATAAACATATAAGCCCCCCC